ATCACTTGTTATGCATCAGAGAGTTGGACAATGACCAAGGAGGGTAGAAAGAGAAGTGATGCCTTTGAGCTGTGGTGCTAGAAAAGAGTGTTGAGGACTGCTACGAAGACAAACAGATTCATCTTGGAAAGGGTTAAATAGGGTGGCTCCCTGGAGGCAAAGATTCTGAGGCTCCGTGTAACATACTTTGGACATGTTGTAAGGAGGGACCGGTCCTTGGAGAGGGACATCATGCTTGGTAGGGTGGAGGGACAGCACAGGATGGAAATGCCCTCTATAAGGTGGATTGATTCAGTGACTGGGGTAATTGGGATGGGTGTATCGGAGACAGTGTGACTGGCACAGGACAGAGCAGAGTTTTGGGCTATTGTACATAGGGTTGCTATGAGTCGCAAGCGACTTGACCGCACATAACAACAACAACATACTGTAGCAACTGTTTTTTAAAATTATCTTCAGCAAATATTCAGCACATCTTATTTGTTAAATTCTGCATTCTTTTGTATTATTTTTCCCTTAAGATCACACAAATATGAACCTCTTCTAGTCATTTGGCCATGTAGCTGTCTTCCAAATTTCTTGGTACAGATGCTTTACTCCACTCATGTCATTAAGGTCTACTTTAAGAAGGTGGCCTTTTCTCATTTCAAATTTTGCATGTTTGAGACTCTTCCTCCAACCCTCCCCACCCCCTAAAAAATAGAAGAGATCACAAGGCCCTTCCTCCTAATCTGTCATACTGGGGAAGCTCTAATGAAACTTGTCCATTGTGTGTGCCTCTGCTACTATTTGAAATAATAGTTAATTATTCTACCTTCCAGCATCACCACAACATGCAGGTCTTCACTCTATGACAATTTGAAACATAAGTGGCTCAAAGTAAATCTAAAACTACCTAAGTGAAATGTGAAAAGGATATATCACAGTTGTGGTATTACAGAGTTTAGCAGAGAAATAAATTATATTTTACCTAATTGCAGACTTCTTAAATACTTAACTGCTTAAAATAAATAAATTTCCTTTGGATTTCTCACTTACAATTAAAAATAACTATCAGTCTCCAACATTCTTAACATTGTATCATAAAAAAGGAAATATTTGTGTTTTTCTTATGCCATCTTTCATATTTGGCAATTAATCTATCAATTGGATCTTATGTAGTGATTATTAACAAAGCTTTTCATTTTAAACTTAACTTTCAAAATAATTAGCTAGTCTTTTTCCCTTCTAAGAAGTCCTTATTGATAATCAAATACTAACACTGGGGAATCTCCTCTCTCTTATCTCTTTCTTGAAAGTGGTACTTAGATTGAATATTTATATATTATTACAGAGTTATCTGTATGCAAGTTTTGAAAATTGTGAACATCATTTAACTCTACAAAACAGAAATTTCTTTAATGAGCCAGTTTAAAATAAATTGCCTTCTCAAATTAGAAGCAACATTTTTCTTTATATCCAACCTTTTCCGTAAAAACCTGTAATCTCTAAGAGTGACTCTTACCTCAATTTTACCATCAAGGTATAAAACTACTAAAATTGAATATAACTCAAGAAGTTATCTAATCTAGCTTCCATCTTCAAGAATGACTGCCTTTGAACAATCCAAGAGATACTTCCATCTTCTGTATTTTTAAAAATATACAGAGAACAGGTCACAATTTGCCTTAGCAATTTGTTCTAATGTGCAATATCCTTTGCATAACTTTTAATCCAAATATATAGCTAAGAAGGAAAGAAAACTTGAGTTTCCTAGGTTCTCAGTAAACACTCTTGTTTATATCTAGTATATTATTCACTTGTTTCAAGAAACATCCGGTTTTAAAGTAGTTTAGTATGATGAAAATAATTTACAACTATTTTGATCTCATAATAAATGCTTGTCATTAAGAAGAAAATTCTGTTATTGTTATGTGTCATGGAGTCAACTTTGACTCATAACAAATCTCTACACAACAGATCTGAATCTTGCCCTATCTTGCACCATCATCATAATTTCTGATATGCTTGAGTCCACAGTGATCTGTGTCAATCCTTGCTGCGGGTCTTTCTCTCCTGTTTTCGCCCTCCATTTATCAGTCCTAAAGGTTAGAACTTTAGGACGGGGGGCTGGTTCTGACTCGATGGCACATAACAACAAAAAAGGTTTTCTAATCAGTTATTAGAAACATTTTGGTGCTCTCTGTACTAGGTGGTTGTTGTTGTTAACGTGCCGTCGAATCGCTTGCGACTCATAGCGACCCTATGTACAGCAGCCCTAAACACCGCTCTGTCCTGTGCCAATCGCACTGTCATTGACACTCCCATCCCGATTATCCCAGTCACTGAATCAATCCACCTCATAGAGGGCCTTCCTCTCCTGCGCTGTCCCTCCACCCTCCCAAGCATGATATCCCTCTCCAAGGACCGGTC